CTGGCTATGGCTGTCTGCTCAAGCCCATCTCGCCAATTTCATCTCCTGATCATTCCCAGTGTTCCCGCGTACCAAACTTCCTGAAACTTGGTGATCCAGTAATTCTTCCTAAGGCGCTTCTCAACTGACAGATTCACTGAATCTGGACTCCCAGATGCTGATAAGTGAGAAACTCAGTGCAGTGCTGCTCCAGTCTGCACTGAGCTGCTTGGAAATCGGGGATCCTGACCCAATTCCAAAATTGCAACCTCCGGGGATCACTTCCCTCCCAATCGCCAGTTCCCAGATGAATCGCTAGGCTAAAAATAGCCTCCTTAGAGCCTCCTAGGCCTCTGAGCATCAATCGCCACCCACTCCTGCACAACCCTAAGCAGGAGAGTGTCACCCTCTGTCCAACACCTCTCGCCACACACTGACCACAACCAACCTTACTGAGAACAACCCTGAAGATGACAAATCGCCATGAAACTCAATGCCAGTATCTCGCCAGATGATAATGGTTGCTCCAACTCATCAATCGCTCCACTGTCTGGATCCAATCGCTCCGATACTAACAATTATGATTCTGGTTGTCTGTTGTCTGAAGACCAACACTCACCCACATAGACTTCCAGGCATGCCCATACATACACAAAAGGAAGGGGAGAGGATAGGAGTGTCACACCGCACAGGGAGAGATAAACACAGCGGAAGACTTGACTATGCGATATGACAGGGTACGCTGAAAGCGTAGTTCACTCCACAGTTTCCTCACAACCAGTCATAAAGGAAAGCCGAGTAGGTCACATCCAGGAAACAATGAAGCAATGATAGTCCAAACCCAGTATCAACACTGTTTATTAAACTCTGAGCCTCAAAGTGGCAGAATAACCCCAGAACTATGGTGCGCTGCTCAGAAATGAGCAGCACTTCATTCCCCACACCCTGAGTAACCGCTATATCACCCCTGAGCCCCTGAAACAACCAGCGCCACCCAGATACTGCTCCCAGACGGAAGCGCCACCCTGAAACAGGCCTCTGAGGCCAAGCGCTTCTCAGAGGATGAAGAAGAAGACCAGCGCCACAGTGTCTGATGACGATGAAGTGCCGTATGACTTCCCGGGTGGAAGTCTACAGCAGCGCCACCTCTCCTGACAAAATGATCTCTGAGGAAGAAGCTGTAGCTATGGCTGCAGCGCCATACACCCTGTAACCCTACTCCTTGTGGAGGGTTCAGCAGGGCACCAACTTCTCCTGCCTCCAGCAGACCTCGAATAGCCCGAACCTCTGCACAGCCCCACGTGCTGTCCGAGTACAGCGCAGGTCCCAGCTATGGCCGGCGCTCCGAAGATCCGGCTATGTCCGTCTTCACCTACGCTGAAGCAGTCACCACCTCCAGTTCACGCGTTGCACAGCAGTGATGTACTCGGTGCCGGCTGCCGAAAGCCCTGAACCGATGTCCTCATCCTACCTATAACCTACACTAGCCTAGACACGACCTAGACCGGACTGACTGGATCCGGGCCTGCTATTCGCAGTTAGGGTAGCTGTAGGTAATTGCAGTTAGTACGGGCCTGTGTTTTCCTGAATTTACAGATATGTCCCTCAAGAATTTTCCCTACAGGTAGGTCTCTCGGTCAGCGCTCAGCCAAACAAAATTACGAATCTATCCTACCTTTAGTACAGCCTTGACAAGAGAGGCTACAGGCAACCAAAAATCAGTGAGTCATTGCACAGAGAGAGAGAGAGAGAGAGAGAGAGAGAGAGAGAGAGAGAGAGAGAGAGAGAGAGAGAGAGAGAGAGAGAGACTCTGCACTAGTAGGTGGTGGCGACCATTCTGATGATTAGTTGCTTAACTTGTTTTCATTTATGTCATCCATAGCAGAACCCGCTATGTTGCGCCACATACTCCGTGCTACTCAAGTTCTGTGCGTAACCATTCCCTTGTACTCGTATTTTATGACATTGACTGTGCAGAAGATATGTGGTATTGGACATTAACAAAGGCTAACAGGACTATTCCCAAGGACCCACACACATATGCAGATATAACGAAGGGAAACAGAAAAAGACAAAAGGAAAAAGAGAAACAAGAGTAACTTTTGCAGACTCGTCATGAGGCTGAACCCTGGGCAATCATTGAAATCTGCACATTGATGTATCGAGTAGTGATCTTCTTTAGGCCCCCCTTGTAAATGGACATCCGACAGGTGATGTAACGAGCGCGAGGCTGAGGGAGACAGGGAGAGCCGAGGGAGAGGAGAGGGAGAGAGAGAGAGTGAGAGCATACACACACACTCACTCACTCACTCGACACGACTGAGGGTCGGACGCAGACACAGTGGCAAGGACACAAAGTCGAAGTCTTGGACTCCAAATGCCGAAACAGGAGCAAGTCACACTGGGTACGAGTACAGCAGCTGGAAACTGGTATGAGACTGGTCCCCGTACTGTACGGGGCACCGGTATAAGTACCGGGTGTCCGGTACAGTACCAGGGGCAGATCTGCAAAAGCCCCGAGGGTAGAACTGAAAAGTGCGGTATTTGAAAGTGGCGCCCGAATTGCAGCATGGCGCCAGTTGTCCAAAACCCGATGGTACTAAAGGAGCGGTTTGGAAAAAGGGTGCCAGGCCGAAAACGGGAAGCAGCAGAAACAGCAAAAAGATGGACCAGGGATCGAGCCCCCGCGGAGTCCGTAACAGGTGACATCACGAGCAGAAGGCAAGGGCGAGGCAACGAGGCACTGGATGAAAAGCAACAGCAAGGCACATAGGCTGGAGGGCAAGGGGGAGGCAGGTGGGCAACCAAACAATAAGGCAAGAACCAGTGTGGCATTATGACCTGCACAAACACCTATTTGAGGCTATGTCTCATGCCCAATGGGACAAAAAGAAAAGTTTGTAGGACTGTTCTTGAACAGGATGTGTTCCTGTTCGTTACCTATTGGACAGGGTGGCACTACGTTCCTGTTCATACCTATTGAACAGGGGGGCAACCAAACAACCAGTCAAGAAGCAGGGTGGCACTATGTTCCTGTTCTTACCTATTGAACAGGAACAGAGGCATACCTATTGAACAGGAACAGAGACTATGTCTCATGTCGAACAAGACAAAAAGAAAAGTTTGTATGACTGTACTTGAACAGGATCTTTTCCTTACGTAATACACTCTTCTGTGGCTATGAAAGCAGCGGAACACACAAAAACAGAACAAAAGAAATTGCTGCTGGTATGGTGCATGGTCAGGTGCCATGCCGCACACCATGCGGCACACCGCACGGTGCGTTTGCGACTTGCGAGTATCGGTGGGGTGGGGTGGGGGGGGAGAGGGGGGGAGGTGGGAAACGAGATTACAAGACTGGAGTTGAAAGGACTGGGAAAAAAAAAGACTGTAGTTGAAAGGACTGAAGACATTGATGATGGACTGTTTCGTCGGACTTGCACCGAGTCAGCAGGATGTTGAACCCTTGGCGATCTGCAGAACCCCGCAGTGATGCTCTTTAGTCGTAAACTTCTTCAGTTTTCCACCCTTGTCGAAAGTGGATGGTGGCCAGAAGGTGACACCACAAGTAGATCAAGGCAGCAAAGCAACAACTCAGCGCAGCACCAGGGAACTCTAATGGGGCAGGCCAAGTGCACAGCGCACAATCGAACTGCATGGAAAGACAGTGCAAGCAGATGAGCGGCAAGGCAACAACGCAGGGAAGCACAAGGCATTACTAACAAAGCAGCCAAACTACATGGCCACAAGCGTGCTGCAGGGAAGACAGAGCAGCAAGGCAACGACGCAGCACGGCACGGCAACACTGACAGGGAAGCCAAACTGCACGGCAAACAGGGCAAGGTCCAAGGGCAGACACGGCAAGAGGGCGGGCAGCAAGGCAGCAGAGGAGCAGAGACAAAGCAGTCCGCACATCCAACACAGGCCAAACCAGTCCATTACGTACTCGCACCAAGCAGAACCCCATAGACTGTTGGCTCCCACTACCTTTAGAGCCAGGAAGCCACTCTGGCGAACATCTGTCATCACCCATAGAACATGGAAACAGACTGGCATTTACTATTAGGCACTTCTTAGAGCCTTGCTGGTGAGGAGTGAGGCAACGGGGACGCTGGACAACAAGGCAGCCAAACGGCAAGGCAAGCAGCAGTGTGACCCGATGAACAGTGGGCAACCGAGCAGCAAGGCAAGAAGGCAGTGAGGAAGCAAAGGCAGCAAGGCAGCAAGGCACGAAGCACCAAGTGAACAAGGCAGCACGACTATGTGGCAACAAGGCAAACAACAGTGTGGCACTATGAGCAGCAGGCAACAAGGCAGTGAGAAGCATCGACAACGCAGTCAAACAACAATGCAAGCAGCAGTGCGACCTGATGAGCAGTGAGGAACAAGGAAGCAATGCAAGAAGGTAGAGTGGCAACACGGCAGCAGTGCACAATGGCAGTGAGACAACAAGGCAGCAAGGCAAGAAGGTAGCGAGGCCGCAAGGAATTTAGACAGTGAGGCAACAAGGCAGCCAAATGACAAGGCAAGGAGGACGGCGGAGGACACAGGAAAGCAGCAGGAAAGAACACAGCAAAGCGACAAGGCAGCAAGGCAGCAAAGCAGCAAGGTGGCAAGGCGGCGAGGCTGCAAGGGCAGCACCTTTAAGGAGGCGAAACTAGATGGCAAGAGGAGCTCAGCATGGAAGGATGAGGCAAGCGGATGGCGGCCAGGCGAGGTTGTACCACGGATAAGCCAGTCCACACATCCAACACGGATAAGTCGAAACACCGAGGTGCTGACCATTTGGCACATCTGAAAAGGCTTTTGATCAGAAATTTCAAGAGGGAGAGGACACATAATTGGAAAACAGAAAGAAAATACTTTCAAAGAAAAGAAAGAATTCATATATAAATCTGATTGTGTGTGTGAAAAGAGAGAGAGAGAGAGAGAGAGAGAGAGAGAGAGAGAGAGAGAGAGAGAGAGAGAGAGAGAGAGAGAGAGAGAGAGAGAGATTGACCCATGCGTTGTCCTGGTTGCAGGTGCGGCATCATCTTGAACAAGGGAATATTGATGCAGTCATCGATCCACGAATAAGAGAGACGGGTTTCCATGTGGAGTCTGTGTGGAGGATAGCAGAATGTGCAATGGCTTGCTGTGAACCATATGCGATCAATCGACCGACTATAAAGTCTGTGGTGAGCTATATTCAAGATGCGATGGATGCTGAAGTCCGGTCTTCTACGGCTGGCAGTGAAATCCTCACCCCTCGTTTGAGTCCGCAGGCTACCATCCCTGTTCCTGAATCAAGAGCTTTGCCAGATGGACAAGTATTCTGAAATCGACGTTGTTTCTATACCTGCACTTTGACTGGGTGAAAAATGAGACTGCGTCGTGGGGCGTTATTGAATCTTGAGAGCAGAGAAGAGTGCAGAGGTGGATCTCTTGCCGAGCCGGCTCACAGCCACAAGATCGACGGCCACCGAGTGACCAACGTACTCAGGTTCATTCATATGGCGCTCCTCAAGGAACATCAGCAGTGGAGAAAACAAGAGTGTGCTTGCTGGCTGATTTCACCTAGGCGGGCAGCTCTCTCCGTCTGTGATTCACATCCGTGCTTTTATGAACTGTGAGTGTACCATAGTTCGTGTCCAGAATGACACGGTCATAATGAGATGAATGAGATAATAGCCGCAAGTTTAAGTGCTGCCGAAGCATTTTTTTGCGTTGCAGATTGTACGCCTGGAAATGAACCAAAGGTGCCTCGTTAAGTGTGGTTAAGCAGGGGTTGTCTCCACTGGTGGGCAAAGAAAGGATATGTCAGTGCTATAACTGGCTGATGATTCCTGAGAACTGGGTGGTCCAGTTTCTGGGGTGGTCCAGTTACTGGGTGGTCCAGTCCAGTTACTGGGTGGTCCAGTCCAGTTACTGGGGTGGTCCAGTTACTGGGTGGTCCAGTCCAGT